GACATGGCCAGATACTACTCGGCGCTGAGGCACTACATCAACCTCATCACCAGGCAGAGGAAGGGAGAGTGGCTCAGCCAGCGTCCCCCTTCCCCGCTCCCCGGGCTGCCTTTTTCCTTGGCGAGTCTCAGGGTAGGAAAGTGGGGTGACACCCCCCCCTCCTCGCACCTGAGTGTCTCGCCCTGCTTTGCACTGACGCAGAGGAAGACGTGGTGCATAGGGCCTCTTTAGAGAGCGACAGCCGTGCACTCCTGAGTCGCCTCTGGGTCCGGGGCTGAGTTTCCACCATCCAAGCTGACCGAAGGGGCAGGGGTGTCGATGCTGCCTCTGCTCTCTCAGCCCTTTCTAGTCCTGGAACAGACAGGCTGGCTGGCAGGCAGGAGGGTGAGCCCCAGGGCAGCGTGCACGGGGAGAGCCCCCCGAAGGGGTGAGAAAACATAACTCACCGGGAAGCTGGGGAGAGTTAGGTAGGGCAGAAATGATGGCAAAAGAACACAGGGACTCTGTGTGTCAGGAGCAGTTTCCCACTTCTGTTGCTGCCACCGACTCTAGTGAGGATTTTGATGAGAAGAAGTGACCCTCTAGCCTGGCTGAGGAGTTGTGGTAGTCCAGATGCTTTGTGGTTTGCCGGCTGCTTCACGCAGCTGTGCGTGCCAAACAATCCACCAGTCCTAACAAAAACTCTCTCAAGACCACAAGCAAGAACCCAAGCCCAAGCTGAAAGAGAAAAGAGTGTGAACCTAACCCGCCTGGTTCTAAACTGCTTTTCTGGGGACGACTGTGCCTGTTGAAGTAGGGGTAAAGACTCAGTCTGAAAAAAAGTGCAGATTTATTATAAAAATTTATTTTCTTTGGGAGCATCTGTCCAGTTTATACTGTGTGATTAATGGAAGTTTTCCCTGAGGCCCCTGAACAGTGTATGACCCAGAAGAGCTTTGACATATTTATCTATTTGTTTAATATCAAAACCAGATGAGAGGTCTAAAATTAGGCTTTCATTTGTCCCTCTAGAAGTCTGAAGAATTAAGTTAGAAGGGAGGCTATCATGTAGCTGAGAGCTTTCCCAGCAAACCCTTCGCATTGTCTGCCAGTGTACTAATAGCATAACACAGATGAAGAGGCTGATAGAAATACAGTTTTTCTGTTCTGGACTTTTAAAGCAATATTCACAACTTACTAATGTGTATGGTGTGCTTTTGTGTGATAGTCTGTGCTTGGGTAACTTTTTGTCTGGATTACTGCTAAAATAATCTGATCCTTTAGTTCTGCCCCTGTTGCCTTTTTCCTTCATGTGTAGTGAGATCTTCAGGCTGGTCTCCCATCTCTTCTTTTGTTTCTTCCATCTCAGATTTCAAAGGTGGTTCCTGTCCAAATCTGGGTCATGTTTTAAAACAAACAAAAGCCCCAAAACCACCCAAATGAAAATTCCTTCTGCATTCAACCTCCGCTTGCTTTAATGTTGACTGTGTAGGTTTGTTCTCATTTCTGGGGTGCAAGTACACAGCTCGGAGAGTGAGACTGCTTTCATTCTTCTGTGTGGAGTTGCATTTGGAAATGAATCAGAACAGTTATTTTTGCTGATGGATGAAACAATGCAGAATTTAAATTTTGTTCTTCAGCTTTCACCTAGATTTCCCAGGCAACTCCTCATATTTAAAGGGAACAGGATTGACCTGGAAGTACAAGAAAGCTGGCAGAAAGAAACACCACAATGGCAACTTCATGGTAAACATTTTAAAGTTGACTGCATAGGTTAACTAAAATAAAAAAAAAAAAACAAAAAGGTGTGCTGTTTCCACTGTGTGGAGAATTAACAGTGCAAAAATAAAGTTATGCCACCTCCGCTTGCAAAGCTTAACCGAGCTCCTGGAGGTTCCCTGTTTCGGCAGTGACACAGTCACTTGCAAAATGAATCAGTAACTTCTGAAGCATTTTGGACTGGTCTAAGACTCATCTGGTCTGTTTCAGCAGGGGTGCTCAAAGCCTTCTGTCTTGTTTCATCTCTTTACCTCTGCCTTTTGTGCTTGGTGCTGCTCGGGAGCCATGTAACAGGGGGAAATGAGGTCTCTGGAGGCTTGCCCTGCTCCTCCTGGGCATGTGTGAGCAAGCTGTGCTCAGCCTCTCACCAGATGTGGTGCCTGCAGCCTGGTCACTGTGTGACTGGTGAGACGGAGCAGTAACAGCACACTAGAAAAGAATGAGATTGATGCCTTTTTCTCTTTAAGTTCATCTGTCTAGTCTTGTTTGATGTTTTTGTGATTATGAATAACCGTCTGGCTCATCCTTCTGGCTTCTGCTGGTGACCTAACCAAAGCACTTGAGTGTCATTCCCCTCTGAGCTACTGTGAGCCACATGGTCTTCACACCAGCTCCCATGAAGCTTCTTCCTTCCAGACCATCTTCTCTTCTTGTCTTTAGTCCTTGTCTGTGTGCCTGCTTTGTTCCCTCTCTTCTTTGAGATCCTTATCCTTCAGAGCCATCTCACTTAGCTTTAAACATCTGTGCCCATCAGCTTCATACCCCTTTGAGGTTAGCTGAGGGAAACAGGTACTTGTAGGGTGCAAGTCACCAGGCCTGTTTCAGACTTCCGGTTTTGGATGGGATCCCTTGTTCCCTATGTACCAGGTCTTTATGACTATAAAGAGAGCCTAAGGTGACCAACACAGATGCTGACTCCTGCCCTGCAGATGTCTGTGTGTCTTTGGATTAGTCCTTCCTCTGTCATCAAAACCGTCCTGTGGTCCTTGCCTCATACCCCTCTACTGCACTCTTCAGGGGGCTTTTTTCAGAGCCCATCTTCCACTGAATCACTCCTCCTTCTGCTATTTGGTACTACCTGTACTTCCTCTTGCCAGCAGGCCCTCTTCCTTGTGTTCCGTGCAGCTCTATCTTGCATCTGTGGCTCTTCTCTGCTGTAGCAGAACAGTAAGGCCATTCCTGCTGGAAATGGCTTGAATCATAGATAGGCAGAGAATACGTAAGTCTGCCTAACTTTGGCAGTACTGATGCTCCCACTGCATGTCAACACCCTTTAACGTGGAAGGGAACAGATCTTAAGAGCTTCGGGTTTTGGGGCAGTTTTCTGAATCAAGCCCACAAGACGATTCTGAGATCTTTCTGCTCCCATTGCCAGCCTTGGACATCAATGGGATTTGACTCCCAAGACCCAGGTTTTCATCTGAAACTGAGATTTTGCTGAGTCTCAGATACTGTGTCACTAATCAGAGTAAATACATTTATGCTTCGATCCCTTTGACTTCAGCTGGAGTTGTGGGTTATCAGCATGCCTGAAAAAAGGCCGTGGTATCTAAAGCTGAGCATAAAACCTGACTAGGTATTTTTACAAAACTTGGAACCTTGTGCTTTTAAAACAGCAAAGATATTTGATAAAAGCATTTCCCAAAGAGGAAATAAAGGTCTGGCTTTCTGTGTTCATGTTGTCTCGGAGCTGGTCAGGGTAGACAAGCAGCAAAGCATGAAATAGCTAGAGCAAAGATCTCCAAAGGCATTTGCTTAAGTAAGAAGAGATTGACTTGGTCCATGGACTCTTTTTATTATGGCTGTAGCATGGTTGTTTCCCAGTGGCAAAATTATGTGGCAGACAGGAGGCTCAGGCATCTGACAATAGGAAGAGCAACTGGGTCGCAGTTGGCAATCGCCTCATGCAGCTTTGCTATGTGAGGACATGGTGGGTCCATCAGCAGAGGTAGCTAGGTCTAGCCAAGGCACTGAAGGGACACATGTAAAAGGTATCTCCCCAACACAGTTGTCTTCATGATTTGTCCAAATCTCTGCACTCTGGAGAGTTGCTACCCATTTCTTATTCAGAAAAAACTTTCCAAGAGATTAATGGGAATTTTGCCCAAGTGTAAACTGTTTGAGCAAGTTGTTGATTTGTTAAATCGATTTCTTTAAAACAATGGCAAATTAGATTCCCCCTCAGTTGAAGTCCAGGTCACACACATATTAGTTGGAATAGGGAAACAGAAGGAAAGAAATCCCTTTGTGGTGGTGCAGTGCAAGGTATTTGATTCAGCATCGTGCTTGCTTGTGCTATTTTAATAGCATTTTACTGTGTCTGTCTGGTTCTTTTCAGATACGCTCTTTCAGTCAGTTCAGGTTAAGAAATTTACTTTAAAATTCTGAAACTGATGCTTTGTCTTTCTGCAGCACGGGTGATGTACTGAAATGATTTAGGCAATGTAAAAATACAAAAAGTTGAATAAAATTATTGAAAAGTGAGATATGTTTCCACTTTTCAGTAAATCCTGCCATCGACAGGTAAAACTGCTAGCTTTTGAAATGTAGCTTGGGAATGTTTTTGGGGTTTTTCCCCAAAATTTAGATAAAGTAATTGGAGAAACATCTTGACAGCAATGGATAAAATCTAAGTCCTTAATTACACCTTTGATGTCTCTGGAATCAGAATTTCACTGAAGTGGCATTCACAAAGCTGTTATCTGTTAATGTACTTTGTGATTCAGACTAATTACACGCACAAGTCATAAACCATGATCTTAATTATTTCCAACCAAGGGAGCATTTGCTTATAGTTATCACTCTTAGGCTAATGAATCGTCATAGTGAAGAAGTGTGTGTCAAGCTGGCTGCTCATTGTCACTTCTGTTTTCTCAGGAAAAGAGAGCAAATTCATTCCCAAGAATGGGAATTGCAGTGCTTTTAACTGTTGAGCAATGTATAGTATCTGGGATCTAAAAAAAAAAAAAGGTGATAAAAAGATGCCTGCTGTGTAAATATTGGACAAAGGTAGCTGGTGGCATCCCATTTAATCGAAGAAGAACTCTGATTCGGAAAGTTTTCTCTCCCATGGCCATGTAGTTCAAAAGTGGTGATTACCTTAGGGTGGCTCAGTTTTTACAAGGTAATGTGCTCTGTGATGGGCAGCCTCAAATGTACTAGCTGTCTTAAAAAATCTTGGCTAGTTCCTTGGATAATAAGGCATATCTGAGTTAGTTTTCTATTCACTTAATAGATTGACTCTTCATTTACAATATGGTAGCATCCAAACCAGTGCGAAAGTTAATGTGATGACAGAACTGGGTTTGTAGGCAGGAATGACGTGCTCTGAGGTCAGGTGTGCACAGCTTCCTCCCCCTTCCTCCATGCTTACAGCCATAAGGTGCAAGTCCTTAGAGTATCCAGGAACAGCCATCAGGTTGAGAAATATTCGGAGTTTCTCAATATTATCATGTAACACAGTTATGGAAAAAATATATCCAAAGAAATACTGAAGAGTGAACATTTTCTCGCCAACTGAAGTTAAGCTAAAATACCTGCTGGAAAGTTGTCTTTATGTCTGCTCTGTTCACTCTTTCTGAAAAGATTTGTTCAATGGTTCCATGCTTAGTCTTTGTTTTTTAAAAACTGACATATACAAAACATACTTTTTTTTCTCTTTACTTAGATATGGAAAGAGATCAAGCCCAGAGACACTGATCTCAGACCTCTTGTTGAGGGAAAGCACAGAAAATATTCCTAGATCCAGGTATGTATGAAGAAGTTTAATGGTGGCTTTCACTACTCAATTAGATTTAACAGTTTCATTTGTTGTCAATAAGTATGTTTCATGGGGAGATAACATATGCCACTAACAGATGGATAAACATATCCTGAAAGAAACATTTTTAATTCCTTTTTTGTTAAGAGCTAGCCCTATCGAGCAGGCCATATCTGCTGTTTGGAAGAAGGGAAGCATTCCCACAACGCTTGCCCCTTAATGGGCTTTATTACATAGAATTGCATGCTGATGCCTGATAACAGATTAGACTCCCCAAAATGGCATACTTCTAATCATTTGCTGCTCAAACAGGTTTAAATTTTTCCTCTAAAGATATGTGAGCGGTAAATATGCACATGCATTAACTTATACAGAAATGCATGGCTAGGACTGGTCTTTACAGTATTTCACATTGGTTTTGTACATAATGTTTTGCAAAGGGAAAAAAGGCCTTTATATACCCATTTGCACTTGGTTTCAAATAACAGCGATGTTTCCAGCAACAGTGGTATTTCGAATGTACATACTGTATTTACCTAGTTAGGCAATAACACTATCTATAATATACGATACTGTAGTGGTGACGACAATTTACACAGCTAAAAGTAAGTATGTTGAAAAAGCAAGATATGGGAGGGGTTGTCTCATGAAAGAAAATATTCGTTTTAGTTTTGCTTACAGTCAAGCATGAATGAGCTCAGTTTAAGCCTTTACTGGTAGCCTGAAGTTTGCTGATAAGATTTCTACTGCAGAAATAAATGTCTTATGCAGTAGTCGTCTCAGGAGTCTACAAGCAAATGCTCGGCATTTTCATCAGCTGTGCAAAGGCTCAGTTAGACTAGCTACATGCTTAAGCGTAATAGTCTGTAGCACTAAACTTAGGGCATGATCTTGTCACTGAAAGGTGACCAAAATTTCTACTGCCATCAAGGGAGGTTGTCCGTGAGATTTGCTGTTCTGCGCGTAGGGAGATCATTGACTTATGGTTTGATGACTAACGGCAGCTGTGAGGATGCAGTTTTCTCTGCAGATGCTTATGTAAAAAACTGCATGGAGTGCAGTGAAATGTATTAGACTATTTTGTGTTTGGTAATGACAAGGCAAAGCCCTCACATAATGGGAAATTTCCGCTGCCATGAATTTGAGGCAACACACAGGGTAGTACAAGGTCTAATACTCTCTGTAATTTTCACCCCTTCATAACAAAACATTATGGTTATTATTATTGTTTCAATAATGCTATTTATAACACACCAGGGAGCAAAAACTCATGAGCAAAATAACAAACTGGTCTGCATTTAAGATCGAGAATTGATGAGAAACAGATTTTTATTTCGTACCCCCCGTAACAGCACTTTAAACTGAGTATGGTCTTTGTCATTCATCGATGACAATGATGGGAGTACTGGGAACAATGATGTCTGGTTTCCTATGGATATGTTTTCTAGGATGAAACGCTGTATAGATTCTGAACCCTGCTCCAGCTTTTTCCTCCATGTGAGGAATTAAATCTTCTTTCTATGCAGTCCTGTATTTCATGGCACATCAGGCACTTAATGTCTCTGAGATATTTGTACCTCTCTCTGACTTGGTTGAAGTTGTCCAGAGGGTTTGAAAGCTGGTGGGGAAGTCGGGGGAGCCACGCAGGGGTGGACAGCTGGACAGACAGCAAATATGCCCAGGCACAATATGGCTGCCTAAGGCTTCCTTCTGGTGGAAGCCTGGCTGAATGAATGAAAGGCAGGCTGGTATTATTCTGAAATTAAAATATTGAAGTATATGTTTTAGAAATAGTTATATATGCAGCCAGATACAGAGCAGATGTAATTTGCACTCAGTGAATCAGTGAGAGAGACACACATTTCATGAGTTCTCGGAATCAACTTTATAACTAAACATTGAGGTATTAATAAACCACTGTACTCAACTTGACTAATATATGCCCCAAGTATTTTGAAGTCTATGTGAATGTCTGACCATATGAAGAAAGTTTAGAGAGATTCTTATAGAAACTGATTAAAATATAGTAAGTTAAGGAATAAAACAGAGGTAGCTTGACATCAGTACAAAGAAATTCTTACGACAAAAACATGTGATGTGGCATGTTTCTGATCTTGTCGAGCTTGTGGACTCGTGAGAAAGCCTTTAAAACTCAACGACAGGATGCATCTCCCCTACTACTGACTCTTTAGAAGTTAGGTATCTAAGGTGAAGTAGTTGTTGAGGCTGCCTTTGCAGTCAGTCGGAGGGATGGGTATCTACAAAATGAACCTTCCATCTGAAAATAGGCAGGATCAATTGCCCTCTCAAGGTATCATTGTCTCCCCAGTGACTGTGAAGGAAGACTAAATGCCCAACTTTTAGATGGCAGAAGTTATGGCAAATGCATTTCTTCTGGTCTCTCCCCATGTTCTCCACTTGATGACTTACTTGCTGTGTAGACAGAACAGCTATTTGCAAGCAGGGGACCTCTGGATCAAATCCTGCCCTCAGCACGTATTTCAAATGCTTGATACTGAGCAGTGGAACACCACAATAATATTTTAGGATGGTGGCTGTGGACTTCGGTTTTATTTGATGGTGCTAACAGCATGACATGTGGGCTTTGGGATTTTTTTTTTTTTTGGCTCGGTGATTTCTTTTTGGAAGCTGTTTACTCCTGAGTAAGAGCGAAAAATATCTCTATTTGCATTTCAACGTATCATAGTTTTCTAGCTGAATTTCATTAACTGCTTAGTAGTGGCATGAAGCAGCTTTGCAGTGAGTCTCAGTGGTGTAAACCCATGTCATCTGGGAAGCAGTGTGAAGGGGCAAGTTCTGGTACCAAAGCATAGGTATTTGGCCAACCAGGATTCCTCTGCTTTGACTGGAGTTGCATACACAGCCTTCAACTGGAAATATGCATAGGTATTTCTTATTGCTGCTTTTGTTAAAAGGAAAATTTTAGGTAGTTCTAACTTTGGATTTTTCAGAATGGGTTTTAAAATGTGTTTAATGGGCTTTTTTATTCATAATATGTATTGCAGGTTTGAAGACCCTTCGATGTGGTGATGGGATTTTCAGCACACCGTCACAACTTTTCCTAGTTTTCAGTTCATATTCCATGCCTCTGAAGCAAATCATAGCATCATTCCCAGTGCATGCAGCCATTGTACTGAATTCTGTAGAGTTTTTCCTCCATCATATTTGTATGTACCTTTATTTAAATAAATTATTTGTGCATTCCAAAATATAACATACTAAATGAAAACAAGTAACCCTGTCATTGATACAGCAAAGAGTTGTTTTAAAGTATTGAAACTGAATTATAACTTCCCCGCAGTCTGAAGTAGCATGGACAACAATAGTGTCACAGTTATTACAGTAATTAGTGTGCAAAGTAAGATAAAGACATCATTTATTGTAGCCTCAAACTCAAATCATCTGCTTGATTTATACAAAACTGTTTGAAATAATTCATTGCAGACTACATAATTTAGGAAAACAGTGTTCTGGGAGACGATTTTTCAGATCACCATACTAAAAACTTACTTAGTCCTTATATTGACAAATGTATTAAAATGAATAGCATTTTCAAAATACAAAGGAATAAGTCACTGCTTAATTCTGCTAACTCCTCAAAACTGGTTTGAAGCTTGGCTGTAAGCCTGAATTAGGAATTTACATGAAACAAATGTAACATCTTTGTTTTAGCAATATGCAAAGTAGCAGAAAACAGTATGTAAAGTAATTCATAAACCAGGATAAATCTACAGCTATTTGTGCCAGAAAAGAGATGTTTAATGTTGCCTAAGGGCTTGTAAAGGAGCACACTGATAAATCGCAACCCTTTGGGTACTTCTGAGCCTCTCCCGTTTGGAATCATTCATGATTTCTATTTCCACCAGAAGAAGGTACCTGGAACAGGGACAAGGGGAACCGTCTTCAGGTTTTGTTTTGTTGGGTTTTTTTAGACACAAGGACCTCTGAAGAAACCCTCGAAGTTTTTATTCAGAGTAACATTATATAATGGCAGCACATCACCCTGGTTCTTAAGTGGTTTAATTCACAGATACATGTCTTGCAGTATGGCCAGGACCCAGACTGGGCATGACACAAATGCTGGTCCTTGGTTCCTGATAGTTAGGCACAACTTCTTTTAGACACTGTGACTGAACGCTGGGTAGTGAAGCACGTAAAAAGTTCCAAACAGGGAAACAATTAGTGTGAAGGTTTAACGTATTTACATCTCTTTCCTGCTTTTCAAATGTTCCTGCATGGCTGTTGCCCCCAGGAGAGATGTGTCAGTGCAAGTAAGTTCCAGATTTCTATAGATGCACGCTGGGTGCGTTCACAAAGCGTTACCAGGTTCCCAGGACGTGCTGGCTTTTGTGGTCACACTTTCTTCAGTAAAGCATAACATATTTTTCCTTTTCATAAAACACTTGGGTGTCATTGGAATGGGCATATTTTGCTCTCAGCAGCAATAATTTCCCTTACGGGCTTGGTGATGGGTTCCACAGTGCTACACATGAATACATGAGGGCTAAGAGCAGTCTAGTGTTACAAAAACGTTTGGGGCCCCTGGTATAGACCCTTGCTACCCAAGGCAGTAAGTGACGATGTTCAGAGGGGCACCAGGATAGCCACGGCTTGCTGAGGCTAGTGGGAGCGCATCAACCGCAGGCCAGGACCTGCTGGGTTAGAGTCCACATAGCGTTCTGCTTTGAATAATTATTGAAATGAAAAAGGGAAATTAGTGAGGTACCTGCTATATAATACCTCTATTTCCTAGTAATGCCTAGTATCTATGTATATACTAATGACCATGGAAATACTAAATCAGTAGATGATAAACTAAACTCGTGTTGCTTAGCACTATCATTACAAATGTGCCTTAGTGGAGGAAGAAAAAGTTAAAGGAGAATTAGTGCACACTAATTGCTAGTGCTGAGCTGTTCCACACAATTACATGACGTTTCTTGAACTTGAAGAACACCAATGTGTATAGAAAACCTAGAAAAATCTAAAAAATGCCAGGTTTATTACCTTATGAGCTGTCAAAGACAGAAGCAAGGCAAAGCACTCACACAATATTAATCTATCCACACTCTGCTCTGATTTTCTTTCTAAAATGTTCTTGTGTTCTCTAGGGCAGACACAATGTTGCTGTAGAAGTCCAGTGTGTTTAGCTTCCTTGTGTACTTCATATACCACTCTTGACAGGCCAGGACATTGAAAATACTAGATCACCTCTCCAAATCGCAGGATAGACTTAAAAGATGAGCTGTGAAATGAAGATAAATGCTGGATTTGTTTGGTGTGGCTTCTGCATTTTGACTTTAGGGTTAACCTTTTCATCTTTTTCTCTCTAACTATGAGAAACAGTGCCCTGTTTCTAAGACAAAGGCTGAAATTTATGTCAGAATCTGAGGAAGTGCCAGGAAAGACAAGAAGTGAGAACCATAAAAGTAGGCGATAGTATTTTCTCCTTTATTTATTGCGGGTTTGAAATCATGAGGAATGTACAAGGATCGGTGTAAAACATTTAAAAGACAGTCCACCTTTACATTTGGCAATTTCTGTAATACACGTCACACTTATGCCCAACTTTGATTTAACCAAAGAGGGTATCTAGATGATCCCATGTATCTTCTGTTCTAGGAGACAAAATTGTCTCTATCCGTTTCTCTCTCCATCCCTAGAAACATAGCCCATTGCAGTGCTTTCAGCTCTGAAAGTCTTCTGTGCCAAAAGACACAAATTCCTCAGTTCTCCTGTGATGGGTATTTCCCTTCTCCCTAGCCATGGAGTGAAACGTTGTCTGATGGACCAAACTGGGATGGTATGGGTGCCCCCTGCCCTCCTGCTGCCCAGCTGCTGCCCCCCACCCCTGGTGAAGGGGAAAGAGCTGCCTGTCAAGCTGGATTTTCCTCACTTGTCATCCGGGAGGGGGAAACCCTACACTGGTGGCATGAAGAAGGATTGGACAGCCTTCTGTGGGCAGGACAGCTTTGCTCTTGCCAGACTGTCCTGAAGATGGGTGATCATGACTGGTCAGGGAGGAGAAGACATCCCCACTGCAGCCTCCACCATCACCTGCCAGAAGACACCGGAAGGCAGGGAGGTGCTGGTGGCATAGAGCTGGAGAGGACATGGGCACAGCAGATTTTGGCAGCTGGGGGAGTGCTGGTGACATTGCAGTTGCAGCAAAGGTGGGAGCGATTATGATAGATGTGCTGGCCCCACCGCAGACCCTGGAAGTGACAGCACTTGTTGCCCCAGGCGGGCATCTGCTCTTCGGCACGGGGATGAGGAGGGCAGCAGGGGACTCACTGCAGAGCCCCACTGCTCCCTCATGGTGCCACGGAGTGGGCAGCACTGCCCAAAACCATTGCATTGTGTTGGGCTGAGGTGGGATTTACCTGGTAGCTGGCAAATAAATACCAAATTTCAGCCGCAGCATCAAACGTTTTCCATAGTGGTTTGTGCCACCTTCCTGTGCTCTGCTGGCCCTGCACCCTGGTGCTCAGGCTGCGGGGCCCATCAGCACTCTGCACATGTGGGAGGGGGATTTTGAAGCTGAACTGACCATTGCTCTATGTTTCCTGTGGGACTGCACCTGCTCTTGCTCCTTCAGGAGCATCCATGTGAATCCAACACAGGATCTTTTTTCCCCTTCCCACCCTGCGATTATTACCTGATGACCATTAGTCACTAAAAGTCAACAAACATTTTAGAACAGAACTCAGCAGAAGATAGGCCAGAATTTGTTGTGACAGAGTCTCTATTTGTATTATGAATTTTTCCTGTGAAAAGCTGAGGTCAGAAGATGAGAAACAACAGAATACCAGGAATGAGCAGCCGTGGCTTTGTAATGCAAACATTGAGAGGAGAACATGCCTCCTTTACATTTCCAAACAAAGCTATTATAAGACTGGGTGCTTTTCACTTTCCTTTGTGCAGATGCTTTATAGCATCCCCTCCCTTTTTCCCAGAAAACCCTTTTGGGTTAAAAAAACACAGTCAAAAAACCTAGTAAGAATAAATTCCTTTCAGAAAGGCTTTAATTTTTCAAGTGTTAGGAAAAAGGTTATTAGCAAATATTTCCAGAATATCTTTTCTTTCATTAATTGATGTTTTCTCTTGAAATGAAAAGCATTACAGGTTTTGATTACTCTCAAGGTTCAGTTCAGATTATGCTTCTCTAAATGGTAACTGAGAAGAAAAGACGCCATCATCTTTCTTCCCACTCTGCACAACTCAGCTGTTTCACAAACTCAGAGTAACTGTCGCTGGAAGTTGATAGTTTCTAGTGATATTCAGCAAGGTATTTAAGTGAATATTTTCTAAACTTAAATCCAAAACTAATTTTACATTAACTTTTTTTTATTTTTCGTCAGAGTTCAAATCTGTCTTGAGATCTGCACAGTATGTGTCTAGGAATAAGAAAAGGCAAAGCTTCTCCTGGAACAGCCCCCATTTGTAGATACACACCTCTGAGAAACACCTTTCATGGGTGTGAAAGTGTAGCCTTTAAAGGACACACAATCTGGCAAAAAAGCATGTGGTTTATATCAATCCTTATGCTGCCATCTAAACCATACGGATCTCAAAAACAAACCAAAGGTGTGACAGCTCTACAGTAGTTGGGATGTCTTGTGAGTGAACCAAACAGGTGGATTCGGACCAGAGAAAAAGAGTTTTCGTACGGATTTCAGTGAAGTCAGAAAACTAAATGCTAAATCTATGGCTTGTGGACAGCTTATGAGCCTGGCATACTTCTCAAGAGCCCCAGCGTTATGAATCAGTGCCTGGTTTCTAGTCAGTAATTCCCAAATTTTGGATTATCACATCACCATTTGAAATTACGTCAGATCTGGCTGTTTAATTTTAATATTTAATAATTGTTTCCTGTTAAATATTATCAAAGAGTGATTTAACACACACAGTGATGAGATTTTTTTTAAAAACTCTGGCTTTGTTTTGGTGGGTTAGTACCCTGAGTGAGAAATTGCTACTGAGTGGAAATTGCCTAACTAATACAATAGTTCATATCCGGCCAGTGCATT